GACCAAATATGAGGCAGCCCCCTCAGCAGCAGTTCGGATTACTGAGTGCAAAATCTCTTCAGTTTTAACCTAAAAAATAAAGAACCTAGTAGACACTTTCTGATTGTTTCAGGTTAAACTTGAGGAGAATGGAAGTCAAAACCCCAAACTGATATTCTAAATAGCAATATTTCATCATATTTCTTAATGTTCCAACATCTTTCTAGCTCTGAGCAGCTGCTTATTTGGACACATTATCCACTCTTGATGATCAATACCACATAAGAAACTGGGGTGGGGCAGGGAAAAACATAAAATCAAGGTTTACTTCAGCTCATTTCCTAAAATATACCATTATGCTCCAGGAATTGGAGGATGCAGGTAAAATGCAGAAGAGGAATGACTCCTGTACATCAAACACCAGTAATTTGAATTTGTCAAAAACTGCTTTGGGTAACGCCAACAGAATCACCCTAATGACAACATGCAGCCCAAAAGAAAATACTGCAAGCACAAACAAGGAGGTATTAAAGGATGTATGCTTGGCTTTGTGGCTGATTTTCAGCCTGGTGTACGACTATTACCTCATGTGAAAACAAGGTGACACAAGAGTTAAGTAATACCTCCATGTGGCTTCAGCTCTCTGCACAGTCATGAGCTCAGGACAGCCTAAGGGGGATAACCCACTGAAAAACATCTGGAATGCTGAGATAACCTCTCCCAGTACCCACTGCCACAAAGCACTGCCAGTGCAAACACAGAGGAAATGCTGCCCTTCATTGGCCAACAATGGATTTTTTTCCTCCAGAATTCCTGTGGACTCTGCACAATGCCTGGATGGAGGTCACCAGAATTCCCACACTAACACCAAGGCACGCTGATATTCACTGCCAACCTCACAGCAAGGCAGACCTTTTCCCTAAGCACACAGGTTAGCTCAATGAGCTTAGCCAAACCATCTGCCAGCACTGGTCCTTCCTCACCAACAGCTTTCTTACTCAACACACCCAAAGCTATGGACAAGACAAAGGAAGTCCCACACACGAGCAGCAGCTCTACAGACACATCTTCAGCATGGCATCTCACCTGAGTCACCTACAAAGCCACACCATCGAGAAACCAAAAGCACAGCATTTCAGAAAAAAACACACCATGTCTGCCCAGGCAGCCAAGGATTCTGCTCAGATGGCCCAAAGACACTAACAGCAAATTTAGGCAATTTTATTTTACACCAAGTTACAAGGGCTTGTCCCCTCATCTTCCAAAAAAAGCTTCTTACTTATCCTGGATCTGCAGCATTGATTTTTCAATTCCTAAACCAAATTGCAAATCAGCTATATCATAAAGAAACACCATCAGTTTTGGTTTTAAAACACAGATAGAGGGAAAAAAACAAACACACATAATCCCATTTGCCTTCAACCTAGACAGATGAGGAAATTCTCTCAGCTAAATTCCTTCCAGAGAAACCATTCTCTTTACAGAACTGAATTATTGGCTTAAAATGTGAGGTGTTTGGCTCCAGCCTGCACATGGGAATTGTGTTTATAAGGACATTTCCTGAAGAAATATCTAAGGAAGTAAACAAATTCACATGGTGCCACCAATATTGAACTCCACCTTCTGCAGTGGTCACTTTCTGCTGGGGGGTTTCGTTTTCAACCCAGATATTCACTGACTACTTGAATTAAATAAAGCAAGATTTCACATTAACTTTGCCTTAAATACACACAAATCCAAGGTGGATCTACACCTTGGATCACCACAAGGTTCATGGGCAAGATATAACACACGAATTCCTAAGATGGATATAAAGGGCAATTATAAATTCCACTGCCAGCAGCAAACATCCTCCAAGTTCACAGACTTGAAATAAGCTTGTAAACAATTTTTATTACACAACTAAACCTTTCAGTGTTAAATAAGAAAAGCCCTAATGCACTCTGGACACTGAGTTTCTAAGCAGCACCTTGCTACAAGGACCTGCTCATTTTTTACACTATTTCACTGTGAATGGAAGTGTTGAACAAAATTTGCACGTACAAGAACACTTGGAAGGACCACAGGCTGACCTCCCCTGCTATGGAAACCCTACTGCCATTCTTGTCATACCTCAAGACTCCTCTTCCTGTATACCCAGAAAAGTTGCCATTTTTTAGCAACTGTTTTTTAGGGAAAAGGCAATTGACCTTTTACAGACAACACTGGACCCCACTACCTAAAGTCTTGGGGTTTTGCAGTAATTTGCTGCAATTTGAAAGACCAACATTGGAGGTTGCCATGAACTCATAAGGTTGTTGGTATAAAATTCCCATTCAACTTCTCCCAAAGCTCTCCACAGTGCCTGTGTTGCCACACTGAGATCTGATGGAGTTCAGACGTGGAGATGAAAACAGCTGATTTTAGCTCCTGATTCCATTCCATCAGCTCAGCAACAACTGAGCTGAACAATGTCTTTCTGCTCCTGGGCTTTCTGTGACTCAGGATGCACCAGGTTTCCCTTCAGAACCCCCTGGACTTGTTGCTACAGTACTCCTGAGTTTTAGAAGCAGGCTCACTAGCAGTCCAATCTAGAAGCACTTTGCTTTGGAGATTAGAGAAGTCTTAATGTATTAAGCATGGGAAGGGCAAAAAATAGCCTAAGACAAACTATCTTAAGTTTACAGAGATAATGAAGGGAACGCTTGGGAGGGAACACCAGCTTCTGCAGCATTCCCACAGTAGTTTCCATTCACAGCAAAACCAGCAACTTGCACTTCTTCCTGTTTTTCACTTGATGTGCCTTCCACACTGCCCGTGGTCAGAAGACCACAATCAAATTGAAGAGCTGGGCACAACTCAAGAATATGTGCAATAAAATGAAATTTTAACCCCCAAACAACTAAAAAGCCCTTTGTTCCAGTGGGATTTTTTTAAAGCTTCTAAAAGCCAAAACTAACTATCAGGTTCCTTTCAGACAAGGAAACCTCCCTCGCACAGAGATCACACCAAACACTTTTCCTTCCCAGGAACTGCTGGGAACGATGTCCAGGTTGGATGCTCTGCTCCAGTAACCAGGCCATCCTCACGTTCACATTCCTAAAAACTGTGACTTCAGCCGTGCACATTCTACAGGCTGCATCCTTTCATCCTCAAGTCACTAGGAGAAAGACTAGAACAGATTTTTGCAAGCAACCTGCATGGCCAAGAACAATTATAAACGAAGCACGTGGCATGTATTTTGTTGTGAATCCTGAATTTCATCCTCTCAGTATTATTCACTTGCTCACTTAGCCCTGCTTAATATTTAATCCCAGACCACCCAGCCTGGGAAAGCCCTCAGCTAGGATAAGATGAAACCATTGGGGAAGCTTCCAGATGGCCAAACTCCCTTCACAAATTACCTATCTCAGTACCTACGTGCCACTCTGTCAAAGAATAAAAGTGAACTGTTCTGCTGCCTCACGGTATTTAATGATCGCTGCCATTTCCTCCTCTCTGCAGGTCCCAAATAATGGGAAATAGGTGCCTCTGAAGGCACAGCAAGCAGGCAAAGGCTCACCTCACCCACTACCTGTACTCTTCAGCTGTCTCTGTCCTTCTCTGCCACACACAATTCCACTGGAAGCTCTCAGTGAAAGGAGCCCTTGGGAAGAACGGCTGTGGACCACTAAACAAAAACCTGCTGAATGTTTCCTCCACACACAGCTGATCTCAGGGCTTGTCAACCCATACACTGAAGTCACTGCAGGGCCTCCATCCCTTCACCACACAGCACCAGCAAATCCCAAAGGCCTGTGCTCAACAGAGCCTTCCAAGCACCTGTGGGACTGCTGGACAACATAGATCAGCAGCAAAGCAGTTATCCTACAAGTCTTATGCCATGAAAACTTCTACCTAGACAATGATATTGACTTTGCTGAAAATCAACACCACAGAAAGGAGAGTACAAACTCTGAGACACGCTCACTGCGTGCATTTTATCTCAAACAGCTGGATAAAATGCTTCTTGTATCAACTTCAGCAGGAATGAAATGCAGAGTGCTGCTTAACTGTGGAAAAAGCTATCACCATCCCAGCCCAGCCCTTCCTCGAACCTATCAGACCCTTCCTTCCTGCCCAGTTTCTAACAGAACTGCAGATATATCGCTCAAAAGCCAAACCGCTTAGAGACCAAGTTCAAAGAAAAGCTAAAAACTTCAAGAGAACTTTTCTGCGGACACTACTTAAAAAAATACCAAAGCAGAAGTGAATGCTCAGCTGGGGAGGTTACAGAATTAACACCATTCAACAAAGCAACCCTGTGTGGCTACATATGCAAATAAGGGGCTCCGAGCCTTACAGGCCTTTTCCAACCATACCTACCTGAAAATCCTAACACCAGACAAAACCGACTATTAATGCTTCCCGTTTCTGCGTTGCATGGAATCAGGGCGGCTTTCAGGTTCGGAGAAAACGCCACTCAACAGTCCAACACCCTGGGCTCTCTGGCAGCCCTCGCCTGGCTGCACCTTCAGCTGCACCTTCACCCGCTTTACCTGCACACGCTCTCCCAGAGGATCTGTTCCCACCGCTGGGCGCGCCAGCACCTTCCCAGCCCCGCAGGCAGCGCTCGGGCCTGCCCGCGGAGCCTCACGCCGGCCCTGCCAGCCAGCAGCATTGCCACCGCTCGGCTCTCCCTCTCCCGGCTCCCGTCACCGCCGCGGAACAGCACATGGCACACAGCACCTGCGGCGGCCCTGCGCCTTTCCTTCGGGATAAACCACACCAGGGACGGAGGAGGCCGCTGGCTGCGGCTCGCAGGGAGCCCCCGAGCCCTGGGGAAAGCCGGGGGCCGCTGGCCCCGCATCCCGGCGAGCAGGGGGCCCGGGGCCGCTCCCCGCGGCGGGGGTGACCGGAGGCCGGGATCGGCCGTGCCCCGCCACGAGGTGCTGCCCCTTCCCGGCTCTGCCGCAGGGCCGAGGGCGGGGGGAGCCGGGAGCCAGCTGGAATTATGAAACCGGATCAGCGGGGAAACCCCCGGGGCCTCCCCCGCGCCGTACCTCGGAGACCTCCTCTTCCTCCTCCTCCTCCTCCTCGTCTTCCTCCTCCTCCTCCTCCTCTTCCTCGTCGTCGCTGCCGTTGTTGCTGCTCTCGCTGCCGCCGCCGCCGCTCTCGCTGCTGCTGGCCGGCCGGGCCGCCCGCCCGCCGCGCTTCGCCTTGCCCGGCACCGCCTTCTTCTTCAGCAGGAGGTCGCACACCCGCACCAGCCCGGCCGCCCCGGGCCCGCACGGCGACGGGGGCGCGGCGGGGCCGCTCGGCCCCTCCGGGGGACCGGGCCCCGCTGTGGCGCTGCCGGCCTCGCCGCCGCCGCCCTCACCGCCTCCCTCCTCCGCCGTCACCGCTACCGCCGCGCCGACCGCCTTCTCCATGGCCGGAGAGGAAGGAAAAGGAGGAGAAGGAGGAGGAGGAGGAGGAGGAAAAAGAGGAGGAGGCGCCCGCGGCCGCTGCTGCCTCGGTCACCTCTAGCGCCGGCGCCGCCGCCGCGCCAACTCTCGCGATACTTCCGGCGGCCGCCGCTCGCGCCGCTCGCGCTCCCCTCACGCGGCGCGCGCTCGCGCTCTCCCCTCACGCCGCCCGCTCCCGCTCCCCTCACGGCCCTGCCCCGCTCCCGGCAATGGAACCGCGGCGGCGGCGGCGGCCAGACACCCCTTTCCCCCCCGCCTCCTTCCCTTCCTTCCGCCCGCGCCGCCGCCTCGGTCACCGCCCCGGCGCCGGAACCGCCGCTTGCGTCATCACCCTCAGCCTTCGGCCCGCTGCGCCTCGGTAAGGGCAACGGTGCCTCGGCGTGGCCTCCGTCGGGAACCTTCCCCGAGGGCCCCCCCGTGGGCACGGAGGTGCCGAGTTACCCCCTCAGGGACCGGCGGGGTCCTGGGAGCGCGCCTAGGGCAGGAAAACGCCGTGAGGGAAGGCCCGTGTTGAAACCCCACAGCACTCAGAATTCCGCCTAAAAGTGATGGTCTCTCACACCGAGAGGACAATATGCATTAAAAAGCAACCTCTTAACGCGTCTGATAATAGAAATTACGGGGGGGCGTCGTTGAAAGGGTCAGAAAATAAATTGGTAGAGTATCGCTAAAAGTGGTGTTCAGTGAAACCACAGAGCACAGAATTCCAGGTAAAAGCGATGTCCAAGGAACGACTGGACATGGCAGTCTGTGGTGATCTGTCAGAGGTTGAAGTCGTTGGTCTTTTCCAGCCTAAGTGTTTCTGGGATTCTGTGTTGCACACAATTCGTTCCCACCAAGCATTCTGCATTCAAGAGTAACCTCCAAATCCCTGTTTTACAATAATTTTCTTACAATTTCACTAAAAACAACCAACGTTAAGATCCCCATGCCAATTTGGCCATATTTCTTTAATGAAACCCTTTGAATATGCCATCATGCCCTGGCTCAGCCCTCAGGCCCCCCAGCCCAGATTTTCATCCCCAAAGTGCACTTGGGTTATTAATACTGTTGCCTCCATTAGGGCAGACCAAGTCTTTTTAGACCTGTTGGAAATAAAAATTATTTTCACCACAGAAACACATGATTGTAAAGATCAGTAATGGCTCTATGCACTGGTACACTATGGGTGTCTTGGAATTGGTGTTTCAAACCAGCAATGCCTGTTCTGGTTATATTTTACAGAAATGAAAAGAGATTGTTGTCATTTGAGTAATTAGTTGTTTTATTTGGCTGATGGAGGATAGCACCGGTCAGGTGTGCAGCTCCTCTGAAATCACACATTCTTTTTTAAATAAATCCTCAACTGGTGCTCATCGTGCCTTCCAATGCAGAAGATTAACTCCTAATCTTCAGGTGCAAGGTCTATATATTATTATATATATTATATATCTCTATATTATTACTTGTTCCTTTATAAATATCTCTGCAGATGATAGTTTGATGTAATCCAGGAGGAATAAATTGAATACTCTAAGCCACCTACCTCCAACTTCCTGGTGTGACTGCAGAAATCTCAAACCACACCAGCATGAGATGTGTGATGGCAGATCAGTTACAATAATACTTTTGTCCTCTTATATATATAGGGTTTTTTGCATTAAACTTAATGCAAATAGTTTGATTTTAGTGGTTTCTATCGGGGCGGAAGCAGAGATGAAACCTTTGTTATTTGTTACAATTACATATAATAAATATATTTTTTAGCATTTATGCGTTATTTGTTGTCACCACAAGGAGTAAATACAGGTAATCTCAGCCCTTCCAGCTGAGATTTGTGGTGTGACACGGACGTCACTTCAATGTTTGATGCGAGAGGTGGGTGACTTTAAACAAAACACACCTGAGATGGCTCTGGCTGTACGAGCAGCCAGACGGGTCCCCATTGACCCGCCTGGGTGCGGGAAGGGTGGCTGCAGGGCTGCCTGTTACCCTTGGAGCTGTTTTCTGCCCCCTCTCCGTCCCTTCCGGGGAATGGCCTCCAGTGAGCGGCTCTGCCGCGGAGCTCGGGCTGCGCTCGCTCTGGGCTACACTGTATCACAAACGGCTGCGTTTGCGCCTTATTCCAGGTATCCATTCAGGCTGTTAGAAAGGCTCCAGCTTCTTGCTGCCGAGGGCAGCCATAGTATTTAATGTGCGTGTGGTTCTCCCCAGGCCGGGATCGGATGGAGCGCGGCTAGCAGCGCCGCTTGCGTCTGTTTGTGCCGTTTCTTTTATGGCCGTGACCTCTGTTCTGATCAAAGAGTGGCTCCTCCTCGTTCGGCACTGCAGGGCAAGTCCTTTTCCTCCATTTCACTGCTCTCCCCACCACCCCAGCTTAAGCCTTTTGTGCTGGAGCGCAGCAGGGGAAGGGTCTAGAGAGGAAATCATGAGGAGCAGCTGAGGGAGCTGGGGGCTCAGCCTGGAGAAAAGGAGGCTCAAGGAACTCCAGAACTCCCTCTAGACAGGAGGGTGCAGCCAGGTAGAGCTTGGGCTCTGATCCCAGTTCACAAGCAATAGACGAAGAAACAAGCCTCAGGTTGTGCCGCGGGAGGTTCAGGTGGGAAATGAGGAAGAATTTATTCGCAGAAAGGGTTGTCCGGCATTGGGACTGCTCAGGGAAGGGGTGGAGTTACCATTGCTGTTATAAGTAGAAAAAGCTGCCAATTTTTTTAAAAGGTTGCAGAGTGAACAAGTTGGACCAGTTGGTGCCAGGGTTGTTTGTTATTGTAAGCACCAGTCATTTTCATTAACTACCTGTCATTGGTGGTTAAGAATTCCGCCTTTTGTCCAGTGACACCCTGCTGCTTCCTAGGAGTTGCCACCCAGACGGTGGAGGGGAAGTGACATCGAGTCAACGTGCAAATGACATCGGATCCAGCATGCAGCAGGAGAGACCCCTCACCAAACCTAGCCAAAAACCCCTAAAACAGGGAGCCTACACAAAAGTGACGAATCAAAGTGGTGACTAGGCGCGAGGAACAAAGTCCAGAGCCTGCAGAGATGCTGAGACCCTTTTTTGCCCCTCACTCTAGCCAGGGAGGACCTTGGCCAGAGGCAGCACCCTGGAGGTCATCCTGAAGGAACAAGGTATTTCCCGATGCTCTCGTGAGGATGAAAGCCCCAGCTCTGCCCACAGAGCAGCGGACAAAGCTGCACCGCTCCTCCTCTCCAGAGTCACCCCTGGGACAAGTGGCAGTGTGAGTGTGGACTCCTCAATCCTCCCCCCAGAGCTGATCGCTTTTACTAAAGGCATTAAAAAGGAGAAAAGTCTTCTGCCCGTGGTTATTTCAATTCCTGAAGGTGCTCAAAAGACAGCTGGACAGGCCTCCCAGTGCTCTGGGCTGGTTGACATGCTGGAGACTGGTCACAGCTTGGACTCCATGGTCGTGTAAGAGGTTCCCAACCTAAATGACTCAGATTCTGTGAGTGCAGCAGCAAGCAAAGCACTTGAGTTCTCTAGAGACACTCAGTGTTACACCCATGGGGCTTACAAGATTTGATTGAATCGTAGGCAAAAGCTGCCAACACAAGTCTGCTCCTAAGCATCTTGGTTTGGATGGTTTGAATGCCTTGGGAAGGTGCAACACTTCTCCTGCACTTTATATTTTAGAAACCCAAACTAAAACATTGTTGTAAATACTATGATAATCACCAAGACATAATGAAGGAGTAAACAATCCAGATTTTTTTTTAATTAAGGGTTTTTTTGTGTCCCAGTTTCCACAACAGTGTACAACCCTTAGCTGTGTTTCCTGTCCATAGGGCTCTTAGGGAATGGATTGCAGATCACTGAAAAGTCAATGTAGGCTCTAAATAGGGCAGTAATTCCTAAAAACCACATTTCCTTCCCTGGCCAGTCTGTGAAGTTGGTTAACTTAGGGCACTTGGGGTTACTGGTAGCATAAAGCTGCAGGAAATCAGTACAGTCGTAGAACCACAAACTGCTCTGGGTTGGAATAGATGTTAAAGACCACCCAGTTCCCACCCCTGCCATGAGCAAGGACACCCTTCACTATCCCAGGTTGCTCCAAGCCCTGTCCAACCTGGCCTTGGACACTTCCAGGCATGGGGCAGCCACAGCTGCTCTGGACTACCTGTGCCAGGGCCTCACCACCCTCCTAAATATTGAGAAAAATGACAATCCTTTGTTCTCTTTTTCATCTGTGATTTCCGATTTTGCACTTACTCATTTTTCTCCAGGTTATTGATCATTCCACTGAGCACTTCATAGGAGTAGTGGGAAAGCTTGGGGTCTGGATTCAGTGAATACTTTCAGGAATTGTCTCCTGTGTGCCAGATTCCTTAAAAAGTTCTACAGGACAAACAATGTGTTGAAACCTCTGCTGTGGTATAATTATCCTCAAGGATCTGCTTTTCAGTTTCTTTTACAGCTGCTGGAAGAAGCGTCATTGTCAAGGTCAGGGAGCAAGAGAGCATGAGTTTTGTTTGTAATTAATACAGGGACTAAAAAAAAGTTCAAAACTTCTTGAATTTTTAACCCAAACTCAGGACTGCTATAACTTTCACAAGGCTACCAAGTTGACCATCCAAATAAACTTCAATCCAAACCCCAGTCCTGTCATTCTGACTGGTGAATGCTTGTGTTGTCTTTGACATGTACAGTTTTGCCACCATTGCAGCTTCTATATGTGCTGGAATGTTTTGATGTGTATCATTCAGGGACCTGTGAACCCCAGCCTGCATTGTTTCAACACACACACAAGGGGCTCTCTCACGGGACCTCCTTGGTGCCCAGATGGAAGGTCCATCTAGGAAATGGGTGGTAAGATTAGCTACCATTACACCACCATGACTGATTTTAAACAGAAGTAACAGAACTGAAGTTGTTCGGCAAGCATGCAATGCCTGCTGTCCAAGGCAAAGGGAGAAAGAAGGAGAGGAACACAAATGTTTGAACATTCAGAGAAATGCAGTTTTCCATGACAGACATTTTAAGCCTTGTCTAAACCACTCAGTTTTAATCCCAGTAAATCACACTTGGAAAAGAATCATTTAGAACAGATTTTATGGAGCCATATCATTTGCTTTAAATTACACTTACTATCTGCATTTCTTCATTACAGCGAGTTTCCTGTGAGCATCTCAGGTGGTGTGGCCTTGTGAGTAAAGAAAATAAAGACAATCCAGACAGGTGGAGAATTGAAGAGGAGCAGTGCTAGCCCAGGAGAAGTGCACAGAGGTACAGCAGAAGGTAAATTTACTTTGCTGTTCACACCCAAAGTGCACTGCCATTACTGTTGACACTCAAAGGCCTGCAGTGTGAGAGCCCCTTTGGGAGCAGCCCCAGCCCCTGGGGTGCAGTAAGGCAGGTGATTTGCCCTTGGCTGTCCTGCCCCACGATCCATGGCACTGCAAACACACAGACACGTCCCGCTCGAGCGCCTTGCGAGTTGTTCCTGTTCCCCACCAGACGGTGTGTGTTCTTCGAGCTGCTCTTAGAACATCAGCTGTGAGCACCTCCTCGCAGGGAGAACCGTGACAGGAAAAACAAACACAGAAAGTAAAGCCTTTCAACAATTGATTCAATTAATAAATCTGCAAGTGCTCTGTTAAAAAAACAAAACATTGGTTCTGTAATATATGTAGTTCTTGGGGAGTCTTAGTTAAGAAATGGCTTAAGCACTTTAAATCCTAAAATGCATTGGTGCTTTGTGAGCCTTATTTTAACATGCATAAATTATTCCAAAGGTGTGTTTTAGGCTCCTAATTTGCTTGATAAGCTTTCAAAATGATCATCCTTTGTGAGTATAAACCTGAAAAACACCATAGCAAATAGAGGCAAAGGGCATCTGGAGAAGATTCTGGATTCTTTCTCATTCTCTTCAAGCGTGGTCACAGGTGACATAAAACAAAGACAAGACAAATCATAAGATAAAGTGATTTTTTTTGTGTATTTTGTGTAAAAGGGATGTGTAATCCAAAACTCTAAATGACACCTCTCAAGCCAAAGCTGCATCACCTATATTTGAACCCTAAAGCTTACTTGTCAAATAAATGTTTTGTTGGTTGTTTCTCTTATTTTAATTTTATTTTTAAATTCCTGACATTTAGGCAGCATCAGCTGTGGGTTGCACAGGAGTCAGCTAGAAGGTTAAACATTTCTTACACTTAGTGTTTTGCCTGGGTTCAGCCAATCCATAATGATAATTTCTATAGTAACCACTTTTTAAAGTCAACAATTGATTAGTTCTGAAATTAGTCCTTGAAACAGCTTCTCCTGGAGCAGCTTGGAAGATCTCAATGCAAGCAGCCTTCTGCTGGTATGCAGAACAACAAGGCTCAGGCTGTTTTTTCTCTCCTCATATAGTGTGCCTTGAAAATATTTATCCTCCCAGGGTAGTTTTATCTCTGGATAAGGAAGGGAGTGGGAATCTCCATGTAAAACTCAGTAAGACCTTGGATTCAGTGAAGGCGGTGTGTGAAATGCCTTTGCTATCTCAGAAAGGCACTTAAAATGGAAGAAGAACATTTTTAGAGAGTTCAAATTACAACTAGAAAAACCATCTACAAGTTTTTGACAGTCTAAAATTCCCTAACCCCCAAGGTCCCGTGGAGCCTCTGTTTTCAAGCAGAACCTGCCCTCACTTTCTCACTGTGTGCTATTTCACTTATTGACTAATATTGTGGGTTCTGCTCTGCTTTAGGGGCCCTTGGGACAGGGTTTTTAAAAACAGAGAGCTCAAGCTTGCTGTTATTTCAGTTGGACTCAGCAGGTGGAGCTAAAAGCCGGCAGCACACCTGCAGCTGCAACAAGTCTGATTTTAATTCTTTCCAATGCTTTGGAAATTAATTTTTACTAAAGCATTTGATTCTTAAATATCTATGTCTTGATTTTTTTTTAATTTGACAGTAAATATGAAGTGATTTTTTTACGTGCAATTTATTTTCAGCAGGCTAAACAAGCATTTCTGGTAGTGTGTGTGGCATTTACAATGCCATTGACTTTATTGTTAGCTAGTTACAAAGTTAGGAGCTGCCTTGAATAGCTCTGTGTTCCTCAATTAGGGACCTTTTCAATAAAGAGAAAAATTGCTGGTGTGGTGAATTTTCTTTCTGTCACTTGTCATTCTCTTACTTTCTTCTTTATGACTCTGAGTTAATTTACATTTTTTTGATGAGGAAATATCTCAAATGTCAAACTTAAAACTGTCCTGTGAGTAAGCCTATGAGCGTCTTGAAAGGTAAATCTATAACTTTTATTTTGATTCATGAATGCTGGTTCAATGCCTCAGCTCAGTTCTCAAGTCTGCAAATTTAAAGACAATATATTAATTTCCAATAGTTAACTTTGTAGAACTCAGTTTGAATATAAATTACCAGGCTTACGTTCAGACATCCCTACAGTCTCTCTATGTACACTGAAACGCTTAAATGCTGCTTAATTTCAGTGAGTGTTAAACTTGGATTCAGCAAAGCACTTGACATGTAACATTTATGTACCCCAATGCCAAATCCTATGCATCTCTTGGTTAGATATGACTGTCACAAGCCAGAAAAGGAGTCCAGAATTTGGGGAGTGCTCTATCAGCAGTACCTCATATCTTAAGGAACTTCTCACATTCTGTGTTTCTTTAATTTAAAAGGACTCCTGTAAGGACAAGGCAAACACTCTCCAAGAAAAGTGCCTCCATAAGGATTACACAAATAATTTGCAATAAGAGCACCAAATAAATCACACATCATTACTAATCAACAAGCTGAGTTTTCTCTCCATTACTAATCCAACTCCAGTGAGGGCTGATCTCTTTTTTAGATACATCATTGTGGCAATTCTCTACAATTGTTACTGTCTTTGCCAACAGGAATATGAAATTTTTTTCAGTTTTGAGGTCTACAGGCTCTTTGTGCAAATAGTTATGTTAACAGTAGGTGGCAGATTGCTCCTGCCTGAGAGCTTGGGAAATGCTTCATGGGGCTAGTTCTTATGGAATGCTGATACCTGTTTACTCAGGACACAGCACAGCTTTCTCCGTCAGAGCTCTCCTTTAGGAAAAGATTGGGCATCGTTTTTAGAGTAATCTCGGTATGACCTGAGCTAGACCTGCTTTTGCAGGTACATCCTACTCATCCACTAACCAATCTAAACACATTGCGGTGATTTGCTGTGAAATAACTTCCCTAAAATATTGTAGGGAGGGTTGAAAATCTGCCTTTTATCTAGCTCGCTTTCCAGAGAAATCAGGCAAATTCTGGCACTGACTTCAACATGACCAGAATTAGGTCAATGCTGAATATATTTCAAAATCCTGGTAACCTTAGTGAGTTGCCAAAAAGCTCCTTAAGCAATATCAGTGCCCAAGAGATAGGAGTGTCTGCCTAAAGTGCAGTTATATACTAAAAGCAGGAATGGAAAACCTGATTTCTCTTTCAGAAGGGGAAGCAGAGAGGTTACCTAGCTGATAACAAAGAATCAAATAAAATAATCTCACTTTTCTTTGAAAACTAACTAACATAACAACACACAGAAGTTCCTAGGCAAGCCTAGTCTCAATTTCAGTTACTCCACACAATTTTCAATTCTGGTGTTATGTTGTTCTGGATTGAATTTTATGAGCAGCTGGAGTGTGAAGTTTTCTTATTGTGGCTGGACAGGCAAAATAACCCAAGCCCATGTCAGTGGGGTTTCTGTTTTGTGACCGTGGGATAGTGGGAATGACATGGAACATTCTAAAGCCACAAATCTCTGATGACACACATCCCAAGGTCCTGGGGAACTGATGTGGTCTCCAAGCCACTGTCCATCATCTTGGAACAGTCACAGCCATCAGGTGAAGTCCTCAGGGACTGGGGACAGGGGAACTTTTTCTAAGAGGGGTAGAAAGCAAGACGCATGGAACTACACACTGCTGAGCCTTACCTCTGTGCCAGGGAATATCTTGGAGCAGATCTTCATGGAATCAGTGCTGAGGCACATCCAGGACAGAGCAGTGACCCAGGACAGCTTCACTAAGGGCAGATTGTGACTGACCAAACCGGTCTCTTCATGATCATCAAATCCAACCAATAACCCAGCACTGGCAAGAGCACCAATAAAGCATGTAAATGAATTGAATCCAAAATGTTTCACTGGAAACATCAGAGTACTGATAAACTTTCATAAAGTCCAGTTATATTTCCATATTGGCTCTGACAAACCTGCAGGGAGGGCAAACTCTGAACTTGAGAGGTTTCTGTCAAGCGACACAAGAACATTTGTATTCTGGCATGTCAAAGGATCCATCCCAGAACTCCTCCTTGCTGACAGCAGAGAGGCTGCAGTGCCCAGCAGTGCAGCAGGACCTCAGAAACCATGAGACTTGTGTTCATATCTGACTGTCAGCATCTTCAGTCTTCCTGGGCTCACCAGGAACAGTGCCCTCAGTCTTGACTTAGCACTAGCCTGTCCTCTCTGCCAGCAGGAACTGGGAGAAATTGGATCAAACGTGATTTGCCCAGCTTCCAATCTCCCAGTCAGGGAGCCAGGCATCTGCCTAGATCTACACTGACTTCAAGGGAAGCCTTAAGCCTCTTTGCACTGGGAAAACTCGCTCTGCTTTCCTGCACTCAGAGTCAAGGAGCAACGTCACAACCCCAAGTTCACACTGAACTGAAGGTACCAGAGAAGGGCACTACTACACCAATTGTTATAACTGAATTTCCTGAGTTATTTCTGAGACCTGTGGATATGCCTGGCTGGCAATATTGAAGCACTGCTGGTTTGAGCAAAAAAGGCCTTTGGGCAGAAAGCAAATGTCAAGGACTGTCAGCATGGGGTTGGAGAGCACCACAGAGGAATGCCCTTGGGAGTGTAGCCTCTGCCTAATTGATCCAAAAGACAACACCAAAAGCTTCATGTGCAAAGAGTTTGTTAATATTTCTTTGTATGGCTTAAGAAGGACTCCCAGTGTAGTGTTGAAATTAAAAAAAAAAAACAAAAAAAAAACCAAAAAAACACACACATCACTGATATTTGGGCTTTGCACAGACACAGATCTGCCTGATAGATTTCTTTAGTTCCTCTGATGTATGGACCAATCTTTTGATAACCTAAGAGAACCACATGAACTATACAGATCATTGCTAAGCTCAATTGCAGTTTTTGGTCTCTGATTAAATTTTTCTGATTCTGGAAATATACTGAGGAACCTTTCTTCTAAAATCAAGTCTTCCTGAAGGCCCTCAGAGAGCCTGAATTTCAAACCTCAGCTATTCACCCCTTCAAAAGTCAGAGTTTATAAGCACTACTCTAAAGAAAAACAAACAAAAAACCTGAGCAATATTTCCTCAGTTTTGTCTTATGTGTAGCCACTTCCTTAACTCTGGGAATCCCAAGTTTCCAGAACTACATGTCATAGTGCAACAAATCCAGTGGAAGGAGAACATGGGAAGGAAAACAGCAACCTGAAGAAAGACAATGTTTTGTTGCTGCTGCAGCTCCGGTTCTCTTTAAGAGATCCTTACATCCTGGTAATATCATTGCCAATCTGATTGCATTGAAGGAAGTACTGAACCTGGAGCTACAAGCCAGAGCTCACCTAATAAAAGTGGTCTAGTTGAATGCTGCTTGAAAAAGAGTTGATTTTTACAACAGAAAAGTACAGGTACTTGGATTTGACTAACTGAACTTGGCTTCACAGGCTAAGGCAGAATGTGGAAATATTTCACCCTGTCTTTGGATTTCACTTATGGGGAAAGATGCTTCCCATTTCATTCATAGAGCCTAGAATTTGTAATTGCTGCATAATATGCAGAAGTGGACTATCTTTTTATGTCAGCAAGTAAATGGCGGTGCCGAATTTTAAAATATCTTGTCCTGCCTGCTCCAGTAACCAGGACCTAAAAATGGCTCTATCATTTTTCTTTTCCTGCTGAGGCCCCTGACAGTTAGGTAAAGAAATTCCAAAGACAGTAGCAAATATTAGAGGTGGAAAACACTATTCTTGCTCCAGGACTTCATGTAAAACTACTATATTTTAATTTTTCAAAGTTATGAGGGCTTTATCTAAAGAAATTGTTTGCTCAAGAATAGAGGAAAGGCTGAGAAAAGAATCACTCCTTTTATGTCCTTAATGCTTGAACATTTACAAGTTGTCTTAAATGGATGAACTAGCATTTTCCCAAGAAAGAAACCCCAAGGTCCTAACAGAAAAAACAGCACAAGAGAACAATTCTAGCAGTAACAGAATGCGTTTCTATGGAGATGGACATGAAGGGGAAAATATTTACCAGCTTAGCAGTTTTTAGGCCAGAATAGGAAAACCCTAAGTTTTCAATGAAACTAAATGAAAAATAAGGCAAGTAAGAATGTCAGTATTGCCAGATGCAGTAACATTGTGCAGGGCACCTGCAGAATGGCAGAAATTTTCCACAAGTCCTGCAGCCCCTCTAGACACACAGAAATTTTTTCAGCTCCTAAAGTGTTTCAAGTTGAGAGCAAACCCAGTGGCTCCCAGAATCATTAATTCATTTTACACGTTTTGTTTCTGATTTTAGCAAATAACCAGCTTACAGTTACAAAAAAAGTTTTTTTAAAAAATTTGAAGGTTACAGATCAATGGCCTAAAGAAAAGCAAAACAAAAAATGCTCCAAACATTTCCTGCTGTTCCTCAAAAGTTTTCACTATTTCTTTTCTTGCTAAAGCACATCAAACTTAGGAAAGAAATATGAACAATATCTTGCCAGGCAGAAGCTTTCAGCTTTGGCTCTTGACTGTACCACATTAAATGGCTCTTCTCTCCTGCCAAAGGCCATCAGGTAGCATAGCAGAGCAGCACAGAAATTGGAAACTGAGTGCCAAAAAGTTTCTAGGGCACAAGTGAATGCACTGGATTCCAAAGGTCTCTGGGACTTATGCAAGAGGAAGAAAATAGATCTCCACCGATAGTCCTATCATGAGCCAAACATCAATCACAGCACCACAAGGATTTCAGCTCCAGAGACAATGATCAAAGGCATTATAAGAACTACTGAAGAAAAATCTCCCCCTGAGAAGGGCTTCCTGAATAGAGCAATGCTGCACCTCGGGTATTACTCTCCCACATCTATTTTGTATTTAGATACACCCATACCAAAATACAACACTGATTTTTGTTGAGGGACCTTAGAAATGGGTAAGAGATGATGCCAATACTCAGCTATCTTGTGGATGGATTACCTACTGGTACTGGCAGAGCAAAAAGTCATAGGGACATGTGTGGTCTTTGTGAGGTCCCCAGGATGAGGTGAGAGATGAGAATGACTCCATGTTCTCAGAAGGCTAACTTATTCTTTTATGGTATTACATTAAAAGAATGCTATACTAAAACTATACTAGAGAAAGGGAAGGATACAGACAGAAGGCTTAACAAGAATGAAGAATAAAAACTCTTGACTGTCTCAGAGTCCAGCACAGCTGGCTGTGATTGGTCATGAAGTTAAAACAATTCACATGGAACCTACCAAAGATGCACCTGGTGGTAAACAATCTCCAGACCACATTCCAAAGCAATCAGATAATTATTGTTTTCATTCTTTTCTGAGGCTTCTCAGCCTCCCAGGAGATGAAATCCTGGCAAGGGGATTTTTCAGAAAATATAACAGTGACAGACATGGAAAGTAGAGACAAGTCCTGAGAAGTCTCAGAATTGACACCCTCAAAAAGCACTGAAGGCTGTATATTTGGATATATTCAGGCAATCGAATGCTTAATAGGCAAAGCAAAGCTGTTCTTGTTCCTGCTGCCAAAGAATGATGTTGGCAAACGGTCCCAACTAAGGAAAACAGCTACATCACTACACTGTGGACTTGTGAGACAAAGGGGTAGGGATGCTAGAATGGCCTGGGGATCACGTGCACAGGATCAGCAAGAACAGTAATCTTGGTGACTCAAAAACCCTTATCTGAATGATGCAGAACTCACTAACGCTGCAGGTGGGTGGCTGATGGCAGAAGAGGAACAGCTGAGTACCAGCACTCACTGATGGGTATGCTCACGAGATACACCTGCCATGGAATACTATTAGCTACAGCTGAGCAGTCTCTGCCCGTTCTGCCACAGTGATCAAACCCCTCGAGTCTTTATGTTTGCTTTGTATCCACGAGTCCATCTCTGTTCAAACAAAAGCCGTATATCTGAGATGTCTGACTTTTCTGCACGGGAATCAGACATCAGTGATAAGAATGGCAAACATCCTTCACCAGAGCAGGAAAAAAAAGTAACGCCTGATAGCTGTCCTTATGTCCAGAGCTACAGACATATAGAGCTAGAGACATTTATTTAGAAGTATACTAATCATTCCAGTTATTCATAAACAGCTTCTCACTGTGGCTACTGGCCCAGCAATGTCTGTCTGTGTTTGGTGTGTGCCTCGTGGTCCAGTCCCACAAACAGAACTACAGGTCTTGAAAAAAAGGAAGAAACAGCAGTAAATAAAACAGAGGGCCACAAAAGTAAAGGATTTCTTGATGTCCTTTGGGTTCTGAGAGATTACTTTGAAAAGCACTTACTTGCCAGAAGGGCTCTGACAGCTGTTCTCACGGTACAGCACATTTGTTTCTCAAGAGCCTCATTCCATATCAGTACATCTCAGTCCACTTTGGTTCTGCTCTGCCACTCTGCACAGGCTGGTATGATGACATTTAAAAAGGATGCATCCTTTTTATTTCCAGCTCAATTACTCTTGGAATTATTGCCCTTTGGATCCCCACACCTGGAATAAAAAGTAGTCATCCCATGTAACTTTAGACATAAATGAGTGTGAAAAGAGATCATCCTAAAATGCCATTTTCTAATCAATTCCTTTTTCTAATACCAGGACAACTTTGTTGGAGTGAAATCAATGCAGTGTGAAAGCACTGAGTAACAAGAAACACAGTATACTATTTAATACTGTTAAACAAACATGAGCATTGGAGTCCAGCTCTCAGCAGTTACATGAACCATTGGCATCAAGTACAGGACAGACAACAGAAGATATCTAGAAATAAACATGGACCCTGTATTCCAAACTTACATATTAACTCCAGGGGACCAGGAGCGTTCCTGCTAACACTGCACAATGCTGCAAGGGAAAATTCCAGAGAGCTTCCAAGATGCAACACTGCAATCATGTGCTGAATTTCAGCTTTGCTCTCCCCGCCCTTAGCAGTAGTTTTCTGGAGACTTCTTTGGTACAGCCTGAGAGCACCTCAAGAGCTATTCCAAGACATCATTCACCAATACCACAGTTTTTACTACCTTGCAGTTATCCACAAAATACCTAAATTTGTGTTTCTGTCCCACTGAATGCTCTCTTAAGATTTGAAAGGAGATGGCTCTTGTCTGACAGAGGGATATGGTCAGTGAAATAATTACAGACTGAATTAACAAGCTCTTTCCCCAGATTTTGTTAGGCTAAAGCAGCATAGGTCTGAAAGCTCCAGATTGCTCATCAATTCCCATTATTCTCCAGAAATGTGGGATTTTGCTAAAACCACCTGAAAACAAGCCCCATGTCTAATATTATGACATTTCTAACATTGCTTTTCTGCCAACCTGGCTTTCCTGCACCATCCTTCATGTAAGAGTTATCCAAATAACCTTTTAATTCCCAACATAGAGCCTTGTTCATTGAAATCACTATCAGAATGCTGCCTTTCACCTACAAAAACATCAGGAATAGGCTCAGGAAAATGCAGAAAGTTTTTGCAACAGCAGCAGACTGTAGAAATGTCATTGTATCAAACTATTCTATGAACTCATCTCACTTTTATGTGGTTATTCCTGGAGAAAAGAGCAACCTTTCCAGAACATAAGATGCACTGCCTAGGCATTTTCCTGAATGAAAACTGCCTGCAAATATTTTGAGCTTAGACATACCATTTGCTTTATTTCAAATGTCTTTAAAAGCTCACACTCAGATACAAAAGAAGTATTAGCATGTACTTAGCCAAATTTCCAGAGGACCGATCATGGAATTGTTCTTACTATTCCCATTAGGAATAATACGGAGTCATGGCAAAACTTCTCACCTGAGGAACAAAAACAGAGCAGAAAAGGGAACCTTAAAAACTGAGGAAGGGTTTGGAGGCCACAGGCTTGGCTCTACCATGTGGGTGCTCACAAAGCGGAGCTGCAAGGCAGCACACAAGCTCCAGTTGTGTGGGCTGATATCCACACACTGGGGACATAAATGAATTACAGTAAATCCTACTGTCTCCCACTGGGAAGCTACACCACTTTGCACTCAGCAAGGATCCAGCCCTGGACTTGTTTGGGAATTTTTGAAGCATCTCACTGGGTTTCCTGGAAAGTAATTTTGATTTATTCCATGTCCTGGGGCTCTGTGCAAACTGCACATTTTTCCTGTGTCTGATCTCCTAAGTTACTGACTAATCAATGAGGAATTTTACAGAGATGAGAGCAATGTTTAATTAAGAGATCACTCTTGGGAAGATGTCAATACAAATGAGAAATTGCAAAAATTCTGAAATGACAGCTCTTGTACTTGTTTACCCATGCATTGGGCTGTTTTCTGGATATCAGTGAACAACAGCACCCAGGGAAAACCAGAGCAGGACCTAACAAATTCAGGAGCTCAAATCAGCCACACATGTCTAGATTAGCCATGTCATCTCAATAAAGTGATTTACAATTAAAATTCTCTAATTTCAGGTGGACTGAGTCCTCTCTGGGTGAGCTGTTGCTATACAAAACCAACATGCTTTGCTTTTGAACAAATAGTAGCAAAAAAAGGAGGCTATAGGATTAGCCCTGATGACATTTTTGTCTGATGCCTTGAACTCCTTGTTTGTCATTTGATAAGGAAATTTACGCAAAACTTTATCTTTTTTGGGTGCTGGGAGGTTTGACCTCCTCCGGACAAAAAGGCCCAAAGTAACAACACAGAATAAATAACTAATATCAAATTAATTTTTGTCAAGGACAGCTGAAGTTTTGTAATCCTCCTCAGGCCAAATGGCAATCCACAAATGCCAGCTCAAGAGTTAATATTTTACAGGCACAGGTAGTGAAGGGTATATAAGCAAATGCTCTTCCTTCAATCTTCCTAGCATTTTTGAGCAATTTTGCTCACATCATAACCTGCAACCATGAAGTGGTTAGCATTAATTTCATTTATTATCTTCCTGAGCTCTGCCAGTTCCAGGAATCTGCAAAGAACTGCACGAGATGCAGGTAAGAAAAGACTAATTAGTTCTCTTGGAAGTCTTTTTTTCTATCAATTTAATGTCTTTAATATAGCTTCGCTAACAATTCGTGGGAGCCTGATCCATATTGAACAGAAAAATGTGACTGACTTGAAAAGAAAGGAAATGAAGAGACCAGGGGGAGATGGGTAGGACACTCAGGACAGCTGAGCTGAGCAGGTGTGGTGCCATGCCTCTGCAACATCTGTGTGCTGCATGAACAGATGTCAATGATCAGGATCTGTTCCTTCCCACCAGGGAAAAAGCAGCTGCACTGTACTTGTGGGAGTTCTGTCTTTTGACAAGTTAATAACTCAGTGCTCAGAGGAAGAAGGTTTGCTCTAAGCAAACTGCAGCTGCACTGCTTTATTTGCAGCGTTTGGGGGTGGTGGTGGTTACCCAAAGGACACATCTGCTAACCCCAAATAGTAAAGTCCCAACAGTCATTTTGAGGATCTTAATGAAGTAGCTGCTTACCGAGGTAAATATTCTATTAGGATCATAAAAATCTCAGGCTGGGGTTCCCTCAGAAGGACAAGCAGACCGAAGAGTCAGGTATCTGCAGACAAATGAACAAGACAGAGTTCAAGTTCTTAAGTTATCAAGTAAAGGAGTCAGGTGAACACTGACCATGGTGAGAATGTGGCCCATGGTGCCCAGAAGTGTCTGCAGGGTCCAGCACAGGCAGTGTGACAGCGAGCACCTCCGCTCCCTCTGTTTTCCTTCCTAGAGCACAAGAGCCCGATTGCCCACCGCTTCAACGACCTGAAGGAAGAGACATTTAAGGCAGTGTAAGTGAACGTTCAACTTCATCTTCTGACGGGTTTTTTGTCCCTAAGTCAGGCACACTGACTTAGCCCCTTACTGTTACTGCAAAACCTAGAAATATTTTAAGACCTGCAAATGTCACAAAGACTTACTCTCTGGGAAAAGAGCTCCTTGCAAACCTTGTGAAAAAGCCTCTTCCTTCTCTGAAAATAAAACATGCATGAGGAATGCAGGTTTGCTATTCCTAGAATGAAGAGAAATTATGCTGCATTGGCAACATTTCCAGAAAAACCACAAACTACCAACCTCAAAAAACAAGCCTATGACAAGTTTTCTGAGACAAGTCAGTGATCTTCATTTGAAACTGGTTTTGGGAAAGAGAGAGGGCCCTGACAGACACATAAGTGCTGACAGAAAGCAGCCTGAAGGTCATAATTGGTAACAAATTATGTTGCCAAATCCAGCGTAGGTCATGGCATTTATGAGTTTGCTGGTGAAAGCAACAGACAACTCCAATCACAGTCTCTTCTGGTTTGTTTATGATTTAATATTCAAGACTTTTTTATTGGGAAGGTATAAAGGTTATTGGGAAGGTTAAAACATGTTCAGAGAGGAGGAGAGAACAAGACAGACATGAGATATGGCACTGAGCTCTGGATAGTACTCTGGTGAACCTTTGTGCATGTCATTTGAACAAACCAGTTCAATTCAGAGGCACCTTTGAAAATACTGCCTGATGTTCCTCAGTGTCAAACTGTGCTTTGTATTTCAGTGCCATGATCACATTTGCCCAGTACCTGCAGAGATGCTCCTACGATGGACTGTCCAAGCTGGTGAAGGATGTGGTTGACCTGGCACATAAGTGTGTGGCCAACGAGGATGCTCCCGAGTGCTCAAAACCACTGGTAGGCAGTGAAACCTCACTACTGCATTTCTCCTCGCTTTGTGCAGCTGCCAGGATCACCCTGCTTGAGGGCTTACACCTGAACCTTTCAGGTGTGCCTGTTGTCACAGGCCAATGCTCAGATTTCAGTGCTTAAACAAAGAACTTGGTTTTGTCAGGTTCTAAACCTCTGCCTTTAACAAGTGCCTAAATGATCCACGGAGCCATTATGTTAGAGACCAAATACCACACTTTGGCACATTCAGCCTAGCATTGCCTGAAAATACACATTAGCACTTGGTACAAAACCCCAGCCGTGAAGTGCAGGCCTAATTCTAGGTATTAAAGTGACCCAAGTGTGTGGATTTCCACACTGGGGTGACTTGAAAAGGTGTCTGTGCTACTTTAAGGCACTTAGTTTATGAGGGTTTAAAAAATTCCTCTAAAATCAGGTAACCAAAGAAGTGTGCAGGTGTTTAGGACTCCTGGACATCTAACAGGCTCAGCTAGATATGAGTTCTCCCTAAAGGTTTCCACCAAATTCTGCTTCAAATCATCTGAAAACTCAGTTTAGTTCATAAAACTCAGTTTAGCTTATAAGTAAAAGTAGATCACTGTCTTGCACAGAGTACTTTAAATTATAATTAATTTTTTTTTCAGTAAAGCATTGGAACCATTTTGATAACAGACTACCTAAAATAAAACTTAATAAAATTATTGAAAAACAGTAGATTAATTTGATTTATGGTCTAAATCTTATTCAGTAAAAACCTATTTACTGTTCAGCCTGGCTTTTCTTTTGCAGATAAGCAGACAATACATGGCGCTGTCTATATATCAACACTAGTTGTGACCCTCCCTTCTCCCTTTCCAGCCCTCTGTTTTCCTGGATGAAATCTGCCAAGTGGACAAGCTCCGTGACTCATACGGTGACATGGCTGACTGCTGTGGTAAAGCTGATCCCGAAAGAAACCAGTGCTTCCTGTCCTTCAAAGTGCAGCACCCAGACTTTGTGCAGCCCTACGAGAGACCTGCTGCTGATGTCATCTGCAACGAGTACAAGGACCACCGCGTGCAGCTCCTGGGAAAGTAAGGGCAATGGCCACTTGTCCTGTCTTACTCTGGTCACATTTGCTCATCTCATGCAAGAGCAGGTTTTTGCATGCCAAACAGGGGTCAAGGATCCCATTTTATACCTCTTGGATAAACTTTCTTCCCCAAACCTGCTGAAAACTCAGTGTTTCCAATCCTGATTAGATAACTTATTTGCTCCAGCTTCCCATTTCTCTTTGTGTAGTTGGCAAGAAGGAAGAAAGGTAACGGTGAAAAGAGCAAAAATTGGCAATAAAATCTTGGTGGCAGGTCCATAGATGGATTTTTCACACTGAAAATCAGAATTTTCAAGTATTTAACAACACATTTTAAAAAGCAGATGGATGTCAAACCAGATGGCTGAGAACATCAGGAGTTCACCCTTTACCCACAGTTAATGAGTCGTGCCTTGGGAAGGGTGAGATTTAGCAGAGCATTTCCTATCAAGCAGGCATTATTTCTCAAAAGCAGATTACTAAACTAGATTTCTGAAGTAGATTTCTAAACTAGAAAACAAGTTAGAGAAGCCACAAGAGGTTTAAGGCCATTTACTGGAACACAGAACTAACGCTCTCCTTTTGCTTCTAGTTTTGTCTACACTGTGGCAAGAAGAAACCCCTTCCTGCACGCCCCAGCGATCCTGGGCCTGGCTGCTGAGTATGAAAACGCACTTAAAAGCTGCTGCTCAGAGAGTGATGTTGGTGCTTGCTTGGATGCAAAGGTACAGCAGCTTGGTCTCTGTGGATAAACACTAAGCAACTGAGTAGGACACAGGCAGAAGGCTTCTGTTCATGCAAAGCTTTGCATGAAGAACTTGGAGAGACAGGCCAGGATTAATCCTATCCATTGCACATAATGAGTTTAATGTGACAATGTGTGTCCTGTTACCACAGGCAGCTGTCATCAAGGAAAGAGCCAAGAAGATAGATGTGAAGCAGCAGCACGGATGCAGGATCCTCGAAAAGTATGGTGAGAGGACTTTCCAAGCAAGGTAAGTTCCCATCACATTTTTGGATAAAATGTTGTCAGCCTGTGAGAGAGACCTATGAAAAGCTCAGCTGTGAGAGCTGCAGAGCAATTAAACCATCTCTGGAACCAGTCTGGAGGATGGAGAATTAACTGCTGGAGTGTCCCTCAGAACCATAGATCACTGTGTGTTTAAGGCACACTTTTGCCAAAGCTGTACTCCACTCCAGTGCCTACAGATTTTGGTGATGGACACATCACTAATCAGCAGAGTAAGGGGCTAGTTTGAACCTTAAGCCAACCAAAAAGTCAGTCTTGGCAGAACCACAGTTGTTAAAACATGTGATTGTAAGACAAAGAAAAGCTTTTCATTTTCAATTTCAATTTAATAACTGGTTCACCTGTTGGGGCACAGAGAGGTGCTTTCATTCTGTTGCCAGTCTGATACACCAACATTGACTAGGATTATCTTATAAACATAGTCAGCTTTCATTTAAAGGTGTCATCAGGACTGTATCTACCTGTGCCAAGCAACCTGGAGCACTTTCCAGGTGCTCAAGAGTGATGCAGATTACTGGGGTGTGATTCTCACAGTTCAGGCAGAGCAGGAAAACCACAGACTTGGTCCTTTCTGGCTTTACTGGGGCAGATGTTGATGCCCTTTTTTTTTAGCCACCAGGAATGAGATGAGAACAATGAGTGTTTTCTTGAAACAATCCTGACCTACCTTACCATGTTAGTGACTTGCAAGGTTTCTGTTCCCTACAGTGCTTTAAAACAAGTGTCTTTTTCTCCTTTTCTACCCAGTAAACTCGTTCGTATGAGCCAGAAATACCCCAAGGCTCCCTTTGCAGAGCTGGTTAAGTTGGTCCACGATGTGAAGGATGTCTACAAAGAGTGCTGTGATGGGGACATGGTGGAGTGTGTGGATGACTGGGTGAGCTCACTATTTTAGACCAAAGTCGACATATTTGAAAGATATTTAGAAAGACAGTAATTTGTGCAGCTACATGTTCACAGTCCAGGGAACTTAAACTGGTACTCAGTACTGCTGGAAGGTTCCTCAAGCACTGAAAAGCTCAGGATAAGCACAGTTGACTCTTACTGGAAGTAGGTTTCAGCCCAGCTCTGGATCTATATCTGTCAGAACATTTATCAGGGAGGCTACTTGATAGTATTTATTCACTTCAATTCAAGAAATTCACTTCAATTCAAGGAAAAGAAAGCAGAGGCAAAAAGGCTGCAATTTTTTCTCCTGCCCTGTCGAGCATACTGCAACTAATCCAGCTTTCCTGTAGTGCCAATGAATGCTAGAAAACAGATGAACAAACCCCTGCAATAGTGAGATGATGCCAATATTGCCTGGCTGACTCCACCTTGAACACACTCACTGACCCTGTTCGTTCCAGGGCCCTGGGGTTAGTCCTCCATCAGAGCTGGGCATCCTGTCAGGACTGCCAAGGTCTGTCAAGCATCCTTGTGACAGGGCACTCAGGGACGTGCCCTGGCTCACCAGTGTCTAGGATCAGGGACGGAACCATGCCCCAGTTATTTCTCCTTGTGTGAAAACAGCATTTTTTAGCAAAGTGCTAAGTAAAGAGGTGACCTGAGTGAAAAGAGAAGAGTCTGAAGCTGAAAGAGCAGATTCATTAACCTGTCTTTAAATTATTATTTCATCGCTTGTCTGATACTACGTATTAATTTTACAGTCCGAGCTCGTGGCCTCTATGTGCTCTAAACAAGATGTTTTCTCAAGTAAACTCAAGCCCTGCTGCGAGCTGCCAGCTGTGGAAAGGACCAAGTGCATCATGGAGGCAGAGTTTGATGACAAACCCGACAACCTTCCTTCTCTAGTTGAAAAATACATTCAGGATAAGGAAGTGTGTAAAAGCTATGAGGCAAACCATGATGCATTCCTGTCAGAGTAAGTAGTGCCCAGAGCATTGCAGGCTCATTGTCCCCCTGAGGAAATGTCCTTGTTATTGCTGCACTGTGCTGAGGACAGCAGCACGTTACTCAGGAGCTCTGGCTGCTGCTGTGCCTTCCAGGTTTGTTTATGAATACTCACGAAGACACCCTGAGCTCTCCACACAGCTGGTCATGAGGATTACCAAGGGATATGAAACACTCCTGGATAAGTGCTGCAAGACAGACAACCCTGCTGAGTGCTACGGGAACGCTGTAGGTGCAAAGCTGTATTTGCAGCTGGCTTGAATGCTGGGCGGGTACCTGTCATCAAAGAACTGTGTTGAGGAGCTCCCACAGCAGAGCAGACAGAAAGCTTTTGGAGAGACTAATTCCAGGGGGGGGGTTAATGTCCTGGTGGGAGATGAAGCAGTCCATGGCCCACGGCAAGGATGTAGGGTTATCTCAGATTACAGGCTAACTTCATTTGTCACATCACATTATTTCAGACTAGTCTCACTCAACTGTCTGTCTGACACCTCTGTATCTCAGATGTGATTCTGCTTGTCCTGAGGCTGACAATTAATAGCTCAGTTACTGTCTGAGTTCCATAGCCTACACTGAGTATGGCTGCTCATGGATTGTGGTGGGAGAGAGTGTGCATGGCCAGCACACAGACACCTAACAGGTCTGATCCACAACTCAGTCACACACAAGACACAGCTTAAGTTAAGTTCCTGAAAGCTTTGGCCAAGAGATGTTCCCCTTGTGGTTGATAATAATTTGAAATATTTACTTGATTTAAGCAAATCAACATAAATCCCCACTGCTGATAAAATAAGTCCAACAGGTAATTAATTTAAACTAAATTTTAAAAATGTAGCTGCCTTTTTCAAGGAAATTTCTGTTAGAACTTAAGACCCACAAGGGAGTCAAATCCTGCCTATGCCAGCCTGGCTATACAGAAGTGATCGGCCTTGCAAAATGAGTATTTTATAGATAAGGTTCAGAAGAGGTCAGAAGTTACATTTATATGACTGTTAGCAGCAACTCCTTCTCTAATATCACTAATAAACTTGCACTTGTTTGCAGCAAGAGGAACTGAACAAGCACGTGAAGGAGAGCGAGGATGTGGTGAAGACCAACTGTGAGCTGTTCAACACCCATGGCGAGGCAGACTTCCTTAAAGGGTGAGCGATTCCTGAGAAACATCCTGGAGTCCTCACTTTGCTCAGTGGCCCAGATGTGCTCCTATTTGAGGAACGCTCTACTAACTGTCATTTTGATTTGACTTGCCAGAATTCTGGTCCGTTACACCAAGAAAATGCCTCAGGTATCAAGTGAGACCTTGCTTGAAATCGGGAAGAAAATGACAGGGGTTGGCAAGAAGTGCTGCAGTCTCCCTGAGCAGAAACGCATGTCTTGTTCTGAGCACTATGTGAGTACATGGATTTTTTTCTTTCCCCTCCTCCTCCTGGAGATTTTCCCTGTTCACAAAAACACTGAATTCTGGTGAGATAGCGAACAGTATCTTTCCATAAACACCACACTAAGCATCTACCTAACAGAATTCCAAGTCTGTTCATTTTTTAATGAATTTGAGAGCTTAAATACGTAGCTGATGGTATCCTGTGAGAATTTTAGTTCAAGTTTGCTTTGTCTCAGCAAGCAGGAGTGAGTTCATAGAATTGGGAATCACAGAACTGTAGAATGGCCTGAGTTGGAGGGACCCTTAAAGATCAGCCAGTTCCCACATCCTGCCATGAGCAGGGGCACCTTCCACTGGACCAAGTTGCCCAGAGCTCCATACCTGAGACTGTGGCAGGTTGCATTTGGGAAATGTCCTAAGACAGTGCCCTAAAACCCTCAAACCTACTGGTTGTAGCCCAATGCCCTGACTGTTCGCAGATGAAGAAGTGCTTCACTCCAGGAGTACCTATGTATTTTAAATTTTAAAGACGTACCACATCTCAGCAGGCGTTTCCAGCTATGCTGTTGTGATAAAAACATCCCTTAGTTGCTGTGTTTTTTGGGAAGATGTAACTAACCTTTGCCCTTTTCTTTTCAGCTGAGCATCATCATTGAAGACATGTGCAAGAGGCAGGAGAGCACCCCCATCAATGAGCAGGTTTCCCAGTGCTGCAACGAGCTCTACTCATACAGGAGGCCGTGTTTCACTGCCATGGGCGTAGACACCAAATACGTGCCGCCTCCCTTCGACCCCTCGATGTTCAACTTCGATGAGAAGCTGTGCACTGCTGCTCCGGCTGAGCGCGAAGCAGGGCAGCTCAAGTAAGCCCCAAGAAACACCTTGTAGGGGGGTCCTGAACTGCAGCACTTGGGAGCACAGAAGGAAGCTCCACCCTCTTGTGTCATCTGATTGGGACTACACTAGCGACACAGAAATCCACGTGGAACTGTGTGTTTGCACTGACCTGGTCAGCATATAACATCATGTAGTGTGGAAGAGGCAAAAGAGAATTGTTTAGTCACTGAAATCACTCCGTTAACTGACCAGTTTCATGTAGGCCCACTGCCAGTGCAAATCTTGGCATGTACTTAATTAGGACAACATACAGATCATTTCCCCCAAGTTCTTACTCAGCCGCAGCTGATGGTTGTGTTGGACTGGGAGGTTGGAGTCGCCAACGGGAACAGGCTCATCTAGGCATGACAAAAAAACCCCAAAATGAGCAGTGCCTGGGGGAATGGTGTCTTGTAAAGCAGGAATCCTACAGCAGGCAAGATTAATTCTGTCTTGTGGCTTTCTTTTCAGAATGCTCGTCAACCTCATCAAGCGCAAGCCCCAGATGACAGAAGAACAAATAAAGACAATTGGTGAGGGTTTCACTGCCATGATGGAAAAGTGCTGCAAGCAGGCAGATGTTGAGGGGTGCCTTGGAGAAGAGGTACTTTCTATCTCCTTTTTTTTTAAAAAAACAAAACACACACAAACCAACAAAAAATCTTCAAACAAAAACCCTCAAACCACATATACAGGAACCTGGAAGCTAAGTACTATAGAAAGCTGTTCTGCAAACTGCTGTGGTCACTTTTCCCCGTGCCTTTACAATAAATTGCCAGAGCTCACTGTGTATCTTGGCTGCACAGATTACAGTCACTGAACAATTTCACATGGAGAAGTTGTCTGGAGGTAATTTAGCCAAACCACCTGCTCAAAGCACATCTCAGTCCTAGATTAGGTTGAGTTCTCTCAGGTCTTGTCAGAAGAGCCACAGATGAAAAACACACATGTGCAGAATTTTACTTTCTCTCTAGCATACATAAGCTTCCTTTTTTCTACAGCTCCTTACAAAACTCTGGGATTACCAGTAAAAAGTGCATGTGGATCAATTCTCAGAAGTGCCCAGCAAATACAGATCTACTGGGAGCTGGGCTGATCGTGTCACAGAAAAGGTTTATCTGGAGCCATGTGGCATTGCCAGCAAAGATAAATGACAGTTTGCAGTAGCAACCTCATTAGATCGCAGGGCACAGAACTATTACTAATATCTTAAAGTGCTTAATAATTCAAGTCTTGCTTTATTTGTATCCCAAGTGTCACATAGTTAAATACATTGGGAAGACTTAGGAAAAAGTTATTTTGTCTCTAACCAGTTGCAAAAGTTTCTTTGCTACTTTGACAAAACTGGAAGACACACAACAGCCAGGGGCATATGGCTCCTAGGGTCAGGAAGTACCATCAGAATGATCCCTTGAACCATAATTCAGGCACAAGTTTAAGTTTCTAACATCTCCTTCTCAAGCACAACCTGCTTTTCCCCTTGCTTCTCTCTGACAACTGTTTGTGTTCCTTTTCCCAGGGCGCTTCCCTAATAGTCCAGAGCAGAGCCATACTAGGAATTGGTGCTTAATCTAAGGTAGGTAGCAGCAGTAATACACAACTGCCTTTGTCTGTCAGTCTGTCTGCCCCTTCCTGGCCACCCTTCCACCCACTTCACTTCCTCATCCCCAAAGAGCATCCAGCTTCCCTTTAACCACCACCTGTGCTTTCTCTAATTGTTTTACCACCTGCCACTGCTCAAATAACTGAGGTGCTGCCAGTATGCTGCCATTTTACAACGATTTTACATTTACAAAATCCTCCCTTTTGTCTTTTCAATCTAGGTTGCCAGTGAGAAAAATATGAAGAAAAACCTGTGGAACTTCTGCCACCCCTTACCCTTTTTCATTTGGTACTGAATGAATATTTCATGAATCTTCAGTGTTTTGTCACACTATGTGCTGTTCAATTCTTTCTCTAAAACAAAAATAAAAAATAAAGGCTTTATAAAACCACACCTGTCCCTGTCTGCTGGTGACCGCCACAAGGCAAAGCTCAGCAGTATTGCCTACACCAAACAGCTGTTCTAAGTAGAATATATGGAAAGTGAGTCTGTATCTCAGATTTTTTTTCCTGCTTATTGCTCTTAGAAAGTTTTTATGAAAGAACATGAAAATTTAGCTAGACTTTAACACCCTGATTCAATTGCATGTTCATTTTAGGCTTTACTTCGGCCATTATAATTACATAGAAAAAGAAGTTTCAAAAGTACTGTTCGATCTAAGGAAAATGATCAGCAAGGACCTGTTCTAAAAAAAATATTATTTTTACACCAACCACAAATCAAGCATCTCTTCATTTGCAAAGAGTTGCAAACAGCCCTGCTTTTAAGAGGCTTTGCATCTCTTAACTCCATTTTTAGGAAGCGTTTTAAATTTTCTCTTGAAAAGCTCACCACCTAAATCACGCCCTTTACTACGGCAAACTCCCCGGAGAGACATTTCCTGCTCCTATGCCCACAAAACCCTGTG